TACTGAGCGTCGTGAGCCTGCGTCTCGTCCTGTGTCGCCTGTTCGTACTGAGCGCGCTAGTGGTCGCAGGTCGCGTCAGCGTCCTCCTCCTGTCCCTGGCACGCACCGGATGTCCCTGCGTCCGTCCACTGCTCCTCTGCGTGCCCCTTTGCCTTCTCCTCCTGCTTCCTCTCTTCCTGCTCTTGCCGACCCGGAGTCGGACGCCCTTCGTGCTGCCAGTCCTACTGTCACGCGTCTCCTGGCTACTGCTGTCACTGACCCCTCCTTCGAGTCGTCTGCTGCGTCTGCCCTTGTCACTGAGCTTGTCGACTTTGCTGCGCGCTGTCGTCTAGACTACGCTGCTCGTCTTGTCACTGAGTCTGAGTCCGCCTGTCCTCCGTCCGTCGGGGGTGAGTGTGCCCTTGGCACGGACGTCCTTGAGGACAGGTAGGAGGAGTTCCAGTGTCTGGCCGCCGCTTCACCTCGTCTCGCGTCTGTACTGCTAGCCCCTGAGGGAGACCCGGATGCACCAGACATCCCGACTCCGCGCTCTTACGCGGAGGCGATAGAGGGTCCCTACTCCTCTCAGTGGCAGGCAGCTATGGATGCAGAGATGGCTTCCTGGAAGTCCACAGGCACCTACGTTGACGCTGTTCCCCCTCCTGGGGCGAACATCGTCAGTGGCATGTGGATTTTCAGGGTGAAGCGGCCGCCGGGTTCTCCGCCTGTCTTCAAGGCGCGTTACGTGGCTCGTGGCTTCAGTCAGCGGCAGGGGGTTGACTACTTTCAGACCTTCTCCCCCACCCCGAAGATGACCACTCTTCGGGTTCTGCTACACGTTGCTGCTCACCGTGACTACGAGCTGCACTCTCTCGACTTCAGCACAGCTTTCTTGCAGGGCAGCCTGCACGAGGAGATCTGGCTGCGTCGCCCACCTGGCTTCACTGGGTCTTTCCCTCCTGGTACCCAGTGGAGTCTCCGGCGTCCAGTCTACGGTCTCCGCCAGGCGCCACGTGAGTGGCACGACACACTGAGGACTACGCTGGCGGCACTTGGGTTTGCTCCTTCCACTGCCGACCCGTCGCTGTTTCTGCGCACCGACACCTCTCTGCCGCCGTTCTACATCCTCGTGTACGTCGACGACTTGGTCTTTGCCACAGCTGACACTGCTGGACTCGCCTACGTGAAGTCCGAGCTGCAGAAGAGACACACGTGCACTGACCTGGGTGAACTGCGCAGCTACCTTGGCTTGCAGATCACCCGGGACAGAGCACGCCGCACCATTACCCTGACTCAGTCACACATGGTGCAGCAGGTCCTTCAGCGCTTCGGCTTCACGTACTCCTCGCCTCAGGCCACTCCTCTGCCTACTCGCCACTCGCTCTCAGCTCTGCCTTCGGATGAGTCCGTAGAGTCGAGTGGCCCGTTTGCAGAGCTTGTTGGCTGCCTCATGTACCTGATGACCTGCACACGACCTGACCTCGCATACCCTCTTAGCATTCTCGCACGCTATGTTGCTCCTGGGAGACACCGACCAGAGCACATGGCTGCAGCGAAGAGGGTGTTGCGCTACTTGTGCAGTACGTCGGGCATGGGGCTAGTGCTTGGAGGGCGCAGTCCAGTGGTCCTCACTGGGCACGCAGACGCTTCTTGGGCTGACGACCAGGCTACGCAGCGGTCGTCACAGGGTTACACCTTTAGCCTTGGTTCCGGCTCTGTCTCGTGGCGGGCTACCCGCTCGTCTTCTGTTCTCGGCTCCAGTTGTGAGGCTGAGATCTACGCTGGGGCTATGGCTGCACAGGAGTTACGCTGGCTCACCTACCTGCTGACCGACCTTGGAGAGCAGCCTCGTTCTCCTCCAGTCCTGTACGTAGACAACAAGGCCATGCTGGCCTTGTGTCGAGAGCAGCGACTGGAGCACAGAACGAAGCACATTGCTCTTCGTTACTTTCTTGCTCGTGAGCTACAGCAGCGTGGACAGCTGCGACTTGCGTACGTGGCCTCTGAGGCCAACACTGCTGATGTCTTCACCAAGGCACTTGCGCCTTGTGATCATCAGCGTTGCTGCACGCAGTTGGGTCTTGTGCCTGTCTTGCCTCACTTGCTCTCCTCTTGACCTTGCTTGTACTTTCGCATATATATACTCTTGTTTTTTGTATATCTCTATATATGATCTTGCATGTGAACTGGCCTTGTGGCCTTTGAACTTGTGCTCGGAATGCGTGGTGACTTTGTGATCCACCCTGAGCTTTGCTTTGCTTTGCTTGACTGGTCTTGTGACCCCTTGTTCTCCCCCACTTTGCCTATGGGGGTGTGTCAGAACTTATAGCTTACTTGTTTCTGTAGGCTATAGTGGGGTATCCCATAGGGGGTACAACCCAATTAGGGTTTCCTATTTGTACTCACTTCGTTCATAGTCATTTCATTCTCGTTCTTTGTTTCCACAGCATAATACTGATACATGGATGAAAATGCTTTTCCATGAAGCGAAATGCTGAAATGCAACATACGGGATGTCATACAAATGCGTGATAGTTAACGACCCAAAAACTAGGCTACCGCATCCCCTGCCTAGCATGGGGGGGAAGTCAATAGCAAAGTCTTTGAATAATAAACCAACACATGAAAAAATGCAATCTGTTAACTCTAAAAAAGAGGTTCACACTATCAAATCCAGTTCGAAGTGGCAAACACACGAGTCACTGAGTGCGCCAATGAACCAATGAGAAATGATAGAAATGAACCCCTTTTTTTAAATTGACAGACATGCATTAATATTGCAATGATCAATGAGATGAATGCACTCTCACAATCAAACACATTCACACAATCAAAAGCACAAACAGCAGCAAACCCAGCCAAAACACGCGATAATAAATAACATGCAAATCAACATTAAATGGACAATATGACAAGATAAATCCTGAAAGTGACCAATACACATTTTCCAGATTCAAATCCCCTTCCTGAGCAGCAAGACTCTTGAGAAACGGGTTTAGAATGTAGAAAGGAGGAACGAAAGAAATAGTCGGTACAAAAAAAAAAACAGAAAAGGAAATGAGGTGTGATGAAATGACGAGATGCAGGAATAACCAAGAAACGAATGAAACAATACAAGGGCTAAGAAAAACGCCGTGAGCATTGAAAGGTTAGAGCCGACAAATAGAAAGGAGGTACAGAGGCATAAAACGAAAGTAAGGAACGGGAACAGAGGGAAAACACATAAGAGCTAGGTCGTACGGAATGAACGAACGAAGGAGGACATGAAGACCATGCAAGAGGATGTGAAACCGAAAATTAGAGAAAATAGGATGTGAGATGACGGACTGAAAGAAGAAGAGAAGAGATTATGAAGAAATACGAACTGGAATATCTAAATAAAAAAACGGAATATGTAAACGGAGAATGCGCAGGACGCTGAGTGTCATCATCGGCATCTAAGAATAGAGGAAGTAAAGCTTACCTAAGAAGCTGTAGGTGAGAGTGGCGGCCTCTCCCTTAGCGCGCCTGGCACGAGCAAAAAGTCACCAACGCGCCAAGCACAAGCAGAACGATTCCAGCAAGAAGTTACAAGAGGGAAAACAAAAGAGAAACACGGACGGAGAGAAAATGAGAAGAGAGATAACAATAGCGGATGGAGAGAGAAGGAAAGGAGAAAGACATACGGAACCTTGAATATGCAACAAAACAGGAGTAACAAGGTAGCAAAAACGAAGGCATGATACAAAAAAACGGAAAGGTAGTCTTCACGTGACGAAGGCATGATCTCGAGTTAACTTTCTCCTAGTCAACTTAAGTAGGCTAACGATAGTCTTAACAAACTAGCAACACTTGCTATTCCTACTCTTCCAGCTGCTGCTACTCTCTTACCTAGAAACTGGAATAGCGTGACAGACAGGAGTGGTTGGAGAAGAAGCAGAGGAAAGGAAAAGAAGGAACGTGAAAAACCTAACCACCTCATTCGTCGCGTTAAAATTATGTAATTAAAATACGAATGAGTATCGACGGGTTTAACACGATGGTTTGAGATTGGCCTCAGGATCGGAAGGTTGCAAGATCGATTCTGGTAGTTGAAATTTACCTGTAGAAAATTTTGTAGTTAAATCTCAATGAAGATTGCTCAGTTTTTGAACATCAAATACAACGTATACAACTAGACAAATAGCTTCGCAACCCTAGGTCGACTTTGTCGCCTCTTGTTTTTTTTTTTTTTGAAGGATGCAATGCACTATAGAGTGTGTACATCCACAGTCGTAACTGTGAGGGAGGAAGGGACCAGGAAGACAAGGGAGTCTACTCAGCCCTTCCGTAACACTCTAAGGCGGCTGGAAGGCAGTTCTCGGGTTAGCCCACACGGATCTGAAACCTTCCCTCCACGTCAGCGAATTCCCATCTTCAAAAATCCGGCTCAGCATTGCAGCCTCGTCCTGTGCCAGGTGAGGCCAACCCCTTGCCCCACTCCGCCCATCACTCTTTGCCACCTGTCTCTTGTAGGCACTGTAGATCCTCACTGAGCACTTAAGAGTATAAGCATCTCATGTGGGTTGAAGCAAACGCTCAATCGCGTACATCAGGGGTACAATATCGAGGTTGCTTGGAACAGACATCTGACATTCTCTATGTTCGTCCAGCTCTCCCACCCCTTTGACAGCATCGATGTGAGCTGCTTTTATGTCTAACAACGACGGAACGAGGGTGAAGGTAACGCCAATAAAGTCGTGCGTATCATGATTCACGACAGCTGCTGCAACGACACTCGCACACATCTCTACCGTGACTCGTCGGCCAGAGCTCTCGCATCTGCCAACAACACTTCCCTTCGTCATTTCCGAGGTTTTATCAGACATCCGGAAACTGTAGTTGAAGCTCTGGAGTCGCACGTTCAGTTGAAGAATGTTATAGCACTTTTTTCTGTCTTGGAGGCTTCTTTGCTCTAAATCAATCGAATCGTACTGTACATATGGAGACGAAGCAGACATAGATGTAGGATTTGAGCACGCTCGCACTGCGACGCGGAGAGCATGGCGATCGGCGCGGGGGGGTTGTGGCATCCCGCGGAGGTGCGGCGAGACGAGCTGAAGGCGGGCGACCACATCTTCTCGTGGCGCATCGGCATGTCCTACTCTCACCATGGTATCTCGTGCAAAACGCGGAATTTCTTCCCATCTCACCCTCTACCCCGGTAGTTTTCGTGGATGCATATGAAGCCATCTGCAGCAGCACGACGAGCCTTTACACAAATCCCTCCCCTCTCGTCTCGCCCACCGCTTGTCTGTTCCAGGGGTGTACGTGGGAGCAGACGAGGTGATTCACTTCACGCAGCAGCAGGCAGACGAGATCGGCTCCAACGCCCTCCTAGACTACGCTGCTTCCGTCTCCCCCGCCCTTCAGCGCACCACCACAACCAGCGGTGAAGGTTCGGGGCCGTGCCGAGCCTGTGGCACGGAGGGCAGCAGCCACGGCGTGATCTCGTCGTGCCTGCGGTGCTTCCTGCACGGCGGCGTGCTATTCAGATTCGACTACGGCGTGTCGGTGGGGAGCTTTTGCTTGCAGATGCGAGGCGGCACGTGCAGCATGGCTGTGCCTGATGCCCCGCATGCTGTGGTGCAGAGGTAGAACTTAGTGTGTTTGTACAGAGGTAGGACTGAGTGTGCTTGTAGCGAGGCATGTCATGACAAACAGACGGTGGGCTTTTCCTGCAGATGCGAGGCGGCATGTGCAGCATGGCTGTGTCTGATGCCCCGCATGCTGTGGTGCAGCGGTAGAACTGAACGTGTTTGTACAGAGGTAGGACTGAGTGTGCTTGTAGAAAGGTAGGACTGAGTGTGCTTGTAGAGAGGTAGGACTGAGTGTGCTTGTAGAAAGGTAGGACTGAGTGTGCTTGTAGAGAGGTAGGACTGAGTGTGCTTGTAGAGAGGTAGGACCGAGTGTGCTTGTAGAGAGGTAGGACTGAGTGTGCATGTAGAGAGGTAGGACTGAGTGCTTAAAGAGAGGCCCCAAAATTCTTAGCAATCCGATTCCCACTCTCTGCTCTCCTGCAGAGCACGTTTTCTCCTGAAGAGGGCTTTGGGCGCTACCACGTGCTGGACAACAATTGTGAGGACTTTGTTGTGTACTGCAAGAGCCACACCCTTATTTTGACTTGTGCTGGTTTTTTTGTGATACGATTGCCACCCGTTGCACTCCTGCAGGGCTCGTTTGCTCCTAAAAGAGGGCTTTGGGCGCTACCACGTGCTGGACAACAATTGTGAGGACTTCGCTGTCTACTGCAAGACGCGTGCGCTAGTGGTCGACAAGACTCGTGTGGGCACCAGCGGCCAGTCCGCTGCTTTCTTTGGGTTCAACTTTGCATCTGCCACCGCTGCTGTGCCCCTGCTGCTCGTAGGGCCCCTGGCTGCTGCTGCTGTGTTTGCCGGTGAGATGGGAGGGGGTGGGAGGGGATGGTGAGGGGGAGGGAGGGGTTGGGAACAGGTGGGCGGGAATGGGAAGGTGTGGGAGGGGATGAGACCTCTGCTACTGCTGCTATTCCGATAGTGCTGATTGGCACCCTAGAAGCTAGAGATTGCTAGTGAAATGGGTGCTGGCATGGTGAGAAGGTGGTGAGATGGTGCACATGGTGCTGGCCTGGCTGGTGCGTGTATGTGCTCGCAACCGACTTGACTGAGGTAGCTCCTTTCCCAATGCTCCCACGTCTCGCATGCATGTCTCTTGCGCTGCTGGTCGGCGGTGGTTGGCATTGTGTGGTGTGTTCGTGTCTGTATGTCTGGTCTGGAGTGTGTGCTCGTGTGCTTGTGTGAGTGTGTGTGTCTGTGTGTTCTGTGGGGGTGCAGGGTCGTACAGCTTGAGCCGAGTGGCGCTGGACGTGGGGGTGAGGAGGGACGTGGTGAGGGTGGAGGGGGAGGAGTTGGTGGCAAGTCTCAAGGGTAGGGAAAGGGTGTGCGGGGATGGGACTGGAGGAAGGAGGGCGAAGGACGGGATGGAGTTGGTGGTTGCGAGGATGAGAGGGGGTGTACATATGCAAGTGGAGGTGTGCCCGCAGCTGCTGTAACTAGATGTGCCGTAGTCCTTAGCTCGTGTGGTGTTATGCAAGTGCTCTATATTAATAGTTGGTGATTATGATGTGCGCTTCAGTGTTATACATAGTGTAATTTAGTCTTTCTTTAGTTTTACTCTTTATTTAGAGCTTCTGGCGGCGTTTTAATGACCTTTCAAAAGGCGGAAGCGTAGTTGTATTTACGAAGTAAGCGCATCGTTCAATGTAATGTACAGATGTGGTAGTGATTTGACTATTGGTGAAGCTCGTGCCACGTTTGCCGTTGCTTCACATCGCATTTCGAGGTCCTTGCTGCCTCGTCAGATCAGCGAAAGCTGTCGTCAGCTTTGTGGTTCGTGCCACGCCACGACGAATGTTGACTCGACACTGAAGTGTATGGCTACCGACGAATGTCAACTCAATGAACTCATTCTGAGCTACCCGAATGTCTGCCCGTCCTAATGTTTTATGCATTCTCCTGGCAAGGCAAACCCGCGAGGGTCTGGGTCGTGGAAGCGGTCAGTGCTGCCTCACAGAGATCTGTTGCAGACGGGACCCTTTTTCTCAAATGCAGTCGCGGGTATGGTTATGTGTTCTACCAGATAGCCCTCAAAATCACAGGCAAATACACTGTTTGCCACTTTGCAAGGGAGAGATGGCATGTATATTTTTAATTCTTGAACCTCCAAGCCTCTTCTATCCACACTCTACATTCACTGCATCTCCACCCACCTAGCTCACTCTTGCAGTTCAAAACAATTTGTTCACCTCTTGACACATATTCATTTAGCAATTTGTGGTCTTCGTGGTGGTGTTTCTGTTTCACCTTCTCTTGCTAGCCATTTCCCTCTGCTTTCCACGTCTCTACAATGGCTGCTGCCACCGCGATTCGTTCCCTAGTCATCCCTGCGTCACTTCAAAGGCAGGCGATGTCCGCAGGAGCCAGCAGCTCTGCTGATTCTTCGTCAACGAAGTTACCACTTCGCCGGATTCCGTCCGTTCGTGCACGCTCTCAGGTCCAGTCGCAATCTGACAGTTCTGCGAAGGACGGAGCTGCCTGGAAACACGAAGTCGCGAGATTGGCTAAGGAATCCGCGAAACTCGTCGTCGCTACGTCTGCGAGCGTCGCCGTTGCTTTGTCAGCAGGTAATTCCTTCGCCAATCCCGTCACTCAAGCTGAAATTTATACGACACGAGGGATTTTCAAACTCGAAGAGCGATTTTAGACTGGCGGTGGCCGAATGCCGCATTTGTCGCCACAACCAAGCATCATCCCTGGTTGTATCGGCAATCCCAAAGCTCGCGGCACGTTCCCCCGCCAACCATCAACACATGCGAGACACCATTTTGAGGAATCACAAGTTGTATTCGTATGGCATTCACTACATACGAACCCAAAAATATCAAAAACTACCATTTCGAGGTGCATTTACCCTCAAAACTACCATTGTGCAAGGCTTGCACAGACATGAAGTCCCGTCATTGGAACACGGTCTGTGGCATTTTTTGTAACGCCTTAAGGTTGGCAGCATCGTCTCGCGTCATTTACCCTAGCCTAACCCTGGGGTCCCTTTATCCGCCATACTAGCCTTCTCGCTGCCATTAATACCAACCGCACCCCGGCTGTTTCCTCCCAACATTTTGCTAATCGCAATTCCGGCAGGCCTAGGGATTGCCGAGGCGCGACCGGAGGGGGTGAACAAGCCGGAGCTGCTGCCCAAGGAGTTCACCACCGTCATTGACGTCGCCGACTTCCTCTCCGCCGGCCAGGTAAGCCAGACGGCTAGCCGTCCGGGATGGGCGATGTTGAGTGTTGGTGCGATGCTGTGCGAAACCAGGCCACCACCGTCATCTACGTCGCAGAGTTCCTCTCCGCCGCCCAGGTAAGCCAGACGGCTAGCCGTCCGGGAGTGTGGTGCTCACGTGTTGGAGTGAGAGTGCGAGAGAGGGTGAGATTGTGTGAGAGGGTTGAGAGAGTGTGAGAGAGGGTGAGAGAGTGTGTGAGAGAGGGTGAGAGAGTGTGCGGGATAGTGAGAGAGTGTGCGGGATAGTGAGAGAGTGTGCGGGATAGTGAGAGAGTGTGCGGGATAGTGAGAGAGTGTGCGGGATAGTGAGAGAGTGTGCGGGATAGTTAGAGGGTGTGCGAGATAGTGAGAAGGTGTGCGAGATAGTGAGAGGGTGTGAGAGAGGGTGAGAGAGTGAGTGCGTGTGCAAGAGGGTGAGGGTGAGTGCCAGCTGGCTGCATTGCGGGAACAGTCATATGCGCATCACTCTGAATTACCAGAGTCTATTCAGTCCTGTTCAGAATCCAGCCATCTTGGAAAACCAACTAAACTTGGATTCTACATTTGGTGTAAGTGCCAAGCCAGCGATGGTCGGTCCTCCTCTTTCTCAAATTCTCCTCTCCTGCTTCTCCCTGTCTGTGCGCGCAGGAGGCACGTTTGGCAAAGGACGTGGAGAGATTGGAGCAGGACACGGGGTATAAACTGAGGATACTGGCGCAAAACTACCCTAACACTCCGGGTAAATCGCAAATAGATAGCAACATTGTACATTCTAGAGTTCCTGCTACACGTCGCGTCATTTCAGTAATAATTTCCACCGGCGTCCCCCTCTCTCCTGCTCCTTCCTCTCATCCACCACTCTAACGCGTTCTCTCCTGCTGCTGTGCTGCCGCCCTCCCGTGCTGTGCGCGTGTGGCAGGGTTGGCCATTCGGGATTACTGGGGGGTGGACGACGAAACTGTGGTGTTCGTGGCTGACCCCAACATGGGTGAGTACATCTCAGCCGTTGATCAATGTGTCAGCGAGCAGGGGCGTGCATGGGCATGAGTGTGGTGGGCGCATGGCAGGGTTGGCTATTCGGGACTACTGGGGGGTGTGGATGACGAGACTGTGGTGTTAGTTGCTGACCCCAACATGGGTGAGTGCATTTCCGGCATGGATATGGTGCATGGTGGATGGGCATGGTGCATGGTGGATGGGCATGGTGCATGGTGGATGGGCATGGTGCATGGTGGATGGGCATGGTGCATGGTGGATGGGCATGTGCATGGTGGATGAGCATGTGCATGGTGGATGGGCCTGGTGCATGGTGGATGGGCATGTGCATGGTGGATGGGCATGGTCTGTGACCCACTGTTTCTCGCCCCAATGTCACACTTTCTACAACCCTCCCTTTCTCCCGGGCTCCCTCAACTCAGGCAACCTCCTGAACTTCAATGTCGGCGCAACCGTGGACCTGTCGGTTCCCAGAAGCTTCTGGAGCCGGCTAGCTGGCAAGTACGGGAACGTGTTCTACTGGCGAGAGAAGGGAGAGGATGCGGCGATCGAGGCTGCTGTCATCGCCATTGACAACTGCCTCCGAGAGGACCCTGGGCCAAGGCAGTGCGCTGAGATCAAGTAGATGCTGATGCGCAGCTGCGATGATGTGACGTGTGCAGCGCGTACATGCAGTCAGTCTATTCTGTGGAGTGGACAGTAGGGTAGAGCTACAGTATGTTGAGATGAATTTTATTGGTTTTACCGTAATATATATTGAAAATCCTATTGGAGACTCCTGTGACAGCTGTTGATCTTGTCTCTGGGAGGACCAGAAACAGGACTCATCAGTCTCTATGTGAAGTGCTAAGGGGACTATACAACACATGCTTCTGCTGTTCAGAATCTGTTATGCTGTTGTGAGAGAAGGGAAGGGAAGGGAAGGGTAAGGATGTGAGGTAGAGGCTGCTATGCTCTGATGGCTATAGACCACTGCATGCAACACGATGCAAAGTGGTTGTGCGGTACCATCTTATTCTCCGCAAGTGGGCGCATGTGCACTCTGATAAGTGCATTCTAGAACGTGCATTTCTCTAAATTCTGATGTGGTTGTACCGTAAGAATGCGTGTAACGATGGAAAGCTAATGCTACAAAAATGGGACATGTATGTATATACATTCTTCCATAATTACGGTACATACGTACCAACACATTGACTCACAAGCAGAGCGGGTGCTTGCTTACCTCAGCAGCTACCAATACTTGTTGGTACGGTTCTATAACCAGATACCCCAGTCATAAAGGAATCAAACAGTTCCTCCATGCTCCCTCACCACTGTGCTCCCCATCTCTCCATGCCTCCATATCGAACCACTGGGTGCACAAAATAAGGCCGTTGCCAGCTAGAAGAATGGCGTTGCCGTACAGTACTTGGCATCTTCCAATGACCATGCGCAGTGCAGCAAGGCCTATCATCAGCTGCTGTGCTGACTCTCCAGAGACACCACCCTCCCACTCCTTTGCAGCTAATGCATGCTCCTCAATAACAACTGCTCCACCGGGCCAGCCATGGCAAGGCTGACATCAGCAGCAGCCAACACTGACATCAGCAGCACCCAACACTGACATCAGCAGCAGCCAACACTGACATCAGCAGCACCCAACACTGACATCAGCAGCAGCCAACACTGACATCAGCAACGGATTCTGACATCAGCAGCTGCGGCTGCCATCCCCCAGAGCCTTGATGAAGTCCCTGATCACATCCTTGCCCTTGATGAGGTGGCTCCATTCCAGCCGTTCGTTCTGCCACACGTCAAAGAGTTACGGAGGGTGTAAATAGGGGTTCAGGGTTTAGAGGAGGAAGAAGGAAAGATAGGGTTGCCTACCACCCAGATCACACCCCTGTCTAATTCGGGTGGAAGGCAAAAGCACACATCTGAAGGCAAAAGCACACATCTGAAGGCAAAAGCACACATCTGAAGAAAATTCATTCCTGAAGAGAGTAGCCACGCACCTAAAGCAAGCAAACTGCCATCTGTCGCAAGCAACCACCTGAAAAAACATTTTGATCCACCTGGAGCAAACGACCGTCTGTTGTAACCACCTGAGAAGCATCCTGAGGCCCACCTGGAGCGCGCTGCCGTCAGTGGCCTGGCTGATGGGAATCTTGATGGCCGGCGCTCCCAAGGCTGCCTCCAAGAAAGGCACCACCGGCATCGTGCCGCCCTCCCTGATGTACCTGTGGGGGGTGGGGATGGAGGAAGGGGGTGATCAGCTGATCAAGAAGGCAGCACTACCAGGATTGTGCTGAACTACCTGATGTACCTGCAGGGGGTGGTGATAAGGAGGGGATAAGATGGGTAGGGCAGCGCCTTTCAGGCCCCTCATACTAGACTCTCATCAATGTTCCTGAGATGGATGAGGTTGGGTGGGTGGGTGAGGGGAATGGGAAAACAGGATGCATTGACAGCTATTGAGACACGGGAGATGCTGTGCTGCCTCTTGATTTACAAAATTCTGAATTGAAATCCCTATTGGCTCATACCTCACGTTCTGAGATGCATAGATGTTTGTTTTTTAGCCGCATTCCTCACATCCCCAAAATCCTTTCAAGAGGATGTAGCTTTTGCTCTCTCTCAAAAAACATACTGACATGGCTTGTTGTGATGCGACATGGAGCACACACCCGAAGCACACCACCTATTTGGTGACTACAGGTTGACAATTGTGAAAAGGCATGCAGAGGAATACCACCGGAAACAGTGGCAGTGCAGGGGTTTTAAGACTCACATGGGCGGCATGTCCCAGTGGCTCTGAATGCACTTCTCTGCGAGCTGGTAGAAGGAGCAGGAGGGGTCTGCCAACCACCTGGAGGAGAGGGGAGTGCAAACAATGGAGGATGCACAGACATGGAATGAAGGGCACTTGAACGTGCACTACGAAAATGGGCATCAGTTAATCTAGAAGGATGCACACGTGCACACATGAATATGTGCACTTTTCTGCAAGCTGATAGAAGGAGCAGGGAAGGTCCGCCAACCACCTGCATTTGTTAGTTTGGTCAGTATGTGCACCTGCAGTGGGCGTATCAGGAAAAGTTAAGACGCTCAAAATCTTGCAAACTATGTAGAATCAAAGGATAATTCTTGGTGATAATGTTGAAATTGGACTGATTTAGTTGACCAGCAAAAACGGCATCTAATCCATCCGTACAGAGAAATTGATGCATTCGTCAGCTTAGTCAGGATGCACACCTGCACTAAACATACCAAACAGAGTTGAGGCGCTCAAATCTTGCAAAATACATGGATTGAAGTGTGTGTGTATGTGTGTGTGTGTGTGTGTGTACGTATGTTTGTGTGTGTGTGTGTGTGTGTGTGAGTGTACGTACGTGTATGTATGTGTATGTGTATGTGTGTGTGTCGGGGGAGAGAGCGTGTGTGTATGTGTTTGGGGGGAGGGGTGGAGGGGACGTGTGTGTGTATGTCTCCACCACATGCCGCTCACCAATTGGCCATGTGCGACAATGACAGCCACCATGTATGTAGTACATGTGTAAGTTTGCATGTATGTATGAATGTATGAATGTATGAATGTATGTATGTATGTATGTATGTATGTATGTATGTATGTATGTATGTATGTATGTATGTATGTATGTATGTATGTATGTATGTATGTATGTATGTATGTATGTATGAATGTATGTATGTATGTATGTATGTATGTATGTATGTATGTATGTATGTATGTATGTATGTATGTATGTATGTATGTATGTATGTATGTATGTATGTATGCATGCATGCATGCATGGATGCATCTATGCATGTATGTATGTATGTATGTATGTATGTATGTATGTATGTATGTATGTATGTATGTATGTATGTATGTATGTATGTATGTATGTATGTATGTATGTATGTATGTATGTATGTATGTATGTATGTATGTATGTATGTATGTATGTATGTATGTATGTATGTATGTATGTATGTATGTATGTCTGTGTATGTGTGTGTGTGTGTGTGTGTGTGTGTGTGTGTGTGTGTGTGTGTGTGTGTGTGTGTATGTATGTATGTATCCATGCATGCATGTATGTATGTATGTATGTATGTATGTATGTATGTATGTACGTATGTACGTATGTATGTATGTATGTATGCGCACGTGTGGATGCGTGCGTGTATGTGTGTGTGTGCCCACTCACACCACCAGTCACCCATGTCCCAACCACGAACGTGCCTGTGTGTGTGTACACCACCGCTTACCAGTCACCCACATGGCACTCACCACACCAATCACCCATGTGGCACTCACCACACCAATCACCCATGTGGCACTCACCACACCAATCACCCACGTGACTCGCCAGTCGCCCACGTCCAGTCACCAGTGTGTCTGTGTGCGTGTGCATCATTCACGTGGCACTCACCAGTCGCCCACGTGCTCCACAGTGACAGCCACGGAGTTGCCAGCAGACCGCAGCTTGGCAAACTCATGAGCCACATGCGCCCGGAAGCGATGCACCAGGCGGTCAGGATTCTGGTTTGGCACGTGCCGGATCACCACCTTCAATGCGGAGTTAAAGTGGCGAAGGGGAAATAATAACATTCAACAAGGAATCGGTTCTGGATTGGCATGTGCCGGATAAGCACCTGGGCATGAAGAAGGAAGGAGCAGAGGGGACGAACTAAAGATGACAGAAAAGGAAGAAGATGACAGAAAGTTTTGGTTAACCATGTCCTGGATGAGTGCGTTACATAACCTTGTGTTTTGCATCTGGTAGAAGGTACTAAGTGCGTTACTTAATCATATACTTAAGTACATAGTGTATGTATGCTGGTTACCAATATGTTTGACATTGAGTATAGGTGTGTTACGTAAATATTACCTTACCGAGTGTGAATGAATTCATTCTATGTTTGGTGCTAAGAGCAGTTGCGTCACATACCATGGTGTTTGGCAAATACGAAGAATCAAGGAAGGAAAGACGAAATATGGCTCGAAAAGAAGAGAGCAGGGGAGGAAGGGTAGAAGTCGACTTTCGAAAAAAAAAAAAGAGCAGGGGGGAAAGCACGGACTGCACTTGTCCGCAAATCCATAGAAACTGCCTTTTGGAATAGCGTCGGGATAGAGTTACGGAACAAATGTCTCTGGTCGTTGTGGTCTCTACTTGAGCAAACGAGAAATATAGCAGGTGGATTGAGGGAAGAGGGCTAACGGAAAGTTTATGGTGGCAGGGATTGACTTGTGCATGGCGGAGGCAGCTGAAGGAAGGGAGGAGTGGGAGGGGGGGTTGAGGAACGTACCCTAGCGGAGGCAGCTTTGGGGAGGGAGGAGTGGGAGGGGGGGTTGAGGAACGTACCCTAGCGGAGGCAGCTTTGGGGAGGGAGGAGTGGGAGGGGGGGGTGAGGAACGTACCCTAGCGGAGGCAGCTTTGGGGAGGGAGGAGTGGGAGGGGGGGTTGAGGAACGTACCCTAGCGGAGGCAGCTTTGGGGAGGGAGGAGTGGGAGGGGGGGTTGAGGAACGTACCCTAGCGGAGGCAGCTTTGGGGAGGGAGGAGTGGGAGGGGGGGTTGAGGAACGTACCCTAGCGGAGGCAGCTTTGGGGAGGGAGGAGTGGGAGGGGGGGTTGA